TCACATCGATGTTTCTCTCTGTCTCTTCCCCCTCTCTCCCTCCCACTCTATCTGAAGATAAATGCAAAAAATGTCCTCAGGTGAAGATAAAAAAAAAACAAAAAAAACTAAGTTTTCCAATTCATGACATGGAATGGCTTTCCATTTACTTAGATCTTCTTTAATTTCTTTCAACAGTATTTCATAGTTTTCAGAGTATATATTTTTTAGTTAAATTTATTTCTAAGCATTTTGTTCTCTAGTTCAATTTGTTTGTCTAAGTATTTTATTCCTCTTTGATGATAATATAAATGGAATTTTCTTACTTTCATTTTCTGATTGTTCAATGCAAATATATAGAAATATAATTGATTTTTGTATGTTAATCTTGTATTCTACAACCTTATGAATTCATTTATTATTGACCTTACAAATTCATTTGTTTTGTTAATAGTTTGTGGATTCTTTAGGATTTTCTATATGCAAGATAATGTATGAAAACAGAAACAGTTTTACTTCTTCCTTTCCGATCTACATGTTTATTTTCTTGCCTAACTGTCCTGACTAGAACCTCTAGGATTATTATTTTTTATCCTCACCTAAGGATAATTTTGCATTTTTCTTCAGATAGAGCGGGAAGAAGAGAAGGAGGAAGAGAGAGAGAGAAACATTGATGTGAGAGAGACACATCAAGTGGCTGCCACCCACATGACCCTGACTGGGACCGGAGACAAACTGCAACTGAGGTACTTGCTCTTAGTGGGAACCGAACCTGGGCCTCTCTGGTATGCGGGCCAATGCTCTAACCACTGAGCCAAACAGGCCAGGGCATAGAACCTCCAAGATTATGTTAAATACAAGTGGCAAAAGCAGAATAATCCTTGTCTTGTCCCTGGCCTTAGGGAGAAATATTTCAGTCTTTTACAATTAAGTATGACGTTATCTGGGATTTTTCACAGATTCCCCTTTATCAAGTTGAAGAAGTTCCCTTCTATTCCTAATTTGAGTGTTTTTATTATCGCAAGAGGTATTACGTTTTGTCAAATACTTTTTTCTACATCTATTGCTATGATCAAGTGTTTTTTGTCCTTTATTCTATTAATATGGTCTATCATATTAATTTTCAGATATTAAACCAAACATTAATTCCTAAAATAAATCTATCCTGATTCAGTCATGGTAATATAATCCTTTTTATATGTTACTAGATTTGGCTTGCTAGTATTTTGTTGATAGTTTTTATATCTATATTCATAAGAGATATTGGTCTGTATTTTTCTTATGATGTCCCTATCTGGTTTTAGTATCAGAGTAATATCAACTCAAAGAATAAGTTGGTAGTATCCCTTCCTTTTATATTTTGTAAGGATTTGAGAAGAATTTCATATTAATTCTACTTTACGTATTTGGTAGAATTTATTAGTAAAACCATCTAGTCCTGGGCTTTGTGAGTTATTTTTGGTTACTAATTCAGTCTCTTTACTTGTTATAGATCTATCCAGATGTTCTATTTCTTCAGCTATTATTTCAACAACCATTTATGATCCGGCAACCTTACTGTGGCACAGGTAGTACCCTGCACTCCCAAATACTGAAGCTCTTGACTTACTCACCTAAACTGGAATCCCAATACCACTGCTAGGGAAACTATGTGACTTTGGACAATCTTGTCCTGATTCAGATAGCCAAGTCTAAACCTCTTCTCAGGTGCATTACTGGTTGCTAGCATCTTCCCAGTATTTCCTTGTGGATAAACGTAGTAGGAAGTGGGTTGAACAAGGTCATGTGCACTCTGGTGAAAAGGAAACAAGAAACCAGAGAAGTGTTTTCACTACAGCAGCTTGAGGGATTTGGTGACTTGTTCCACACCCTTCCTGCCAGCTCCTTGTCCTCCTCATCCAGCACATCTTCTACACATGACATTTCCAAGTTTTTAAAGGTACCATATTTGTCACCCTCTCCTTATGTGCTCAAAATAAAGCAAAAATAGTGAGCCCAGCTGGTGTGGCTCAGTGGTTGAACGTCGACCCATGCCCCAAGAGGTCGCTGGATCGATTTCCCAGTTGGGGTACATGCCCAGGTTGTGGGCCAAATCCCCAGTGGAGGGCATGCAGGAGGCAGCCAATTGATGTTCTCTCTCATTGATGTTTCTATCTCTCTTTCCCTCTCCCTTCCTCTCTCTCTAAAAATCAATAAAAAATAATAATGAGACTGTGGTCTCTGGAGTCAAATGCTCTACCTGCATATCACAAGAGTTTTTTAGCTTTTCTGGACTTCAGTTTCTTACCCATAAATGAAGGGATAAAAATCATACATACTCCAAAGTATTGTTTTGATAAATAAATAATACATATAAAAGTGCATAGAACAATGACTGGCACTTTTACATATAATATCACAGTAAGCTATGCTGTTAACACATCTGGCCCTGGCCGGTTTGGATCAGCGGTTAGAGCATTGGCTTGCGGTCCAGAGAGACCCGGGTTTGGTTCCCGCTAAGGGCATGTACCTAGGTTGCAGTTTGTCCCTAGCCCTGGTTGGGTCATGTGGGTGGCAACCACTCAATGTGTCTCTTTCACATTGATGCTTCTCTCTCTCTCTCCCTCCTACTCTATCTGAATAAAATATGGAAAAATGTCCTCGAATGAGGATTTAAAAAACAAAACACATCTGATCTTAGCCTCCAAGACAGTTCCAGGTTGTTGGGATACTGTCTGCACTGAATATAAACTCTAAGAACTGAAGCTGCACAGATCACATGAGAATAATGAATGTCTCCATTCTGAAGGAAATCTACCCGGTAGAAGAAAACAGTGGGTGGGAGATAACAGATCATAATTAAAAGCAGCACAGCCTGCCCTGGCTGGTTTGGCTCAGCAGTTAGAGCATCAGCCTAAAGACCAAAGAGTTGCAGGTTTGATTCCAGTCAAGGGCATGTACCTTGGTTGTGGTTCAGTTCCCCACCCTGGTTGGGATCATGTAGGAGGCAGCCAATCGATGTGTCTCTCTCACATCGCTGTCCCTCCATCCCCACCCCCTATCTGAAGATAAATGAAAAAATATCCTCAGGTGAGGATTTCTTTTTTTTTTTTTTTTTTGCATTTATCTTCAGATAGAGAGCGGGGGAGAGAGAGAAACATTGATGTGAGAGAGACACATCGACTGGTTGCCACCCACACGACCCCAACCAGGGCTGGGGACAAACTGCAACCAAGGAATGTGCCCTAAGCAGGAACCGAACCCAGGACTCTCTGGTCCACAGGATGACGCTCTAATCGCTGAGCTGAACTAGAGAGGGTTCAGGTGAGGATTTTTTTAAAAAAAGCATCACAGCCTCTGGAATCAGGTAGACCAGTGTGTTCAAAATCTGACTCCACCTTATATTGGTTGTTACCTTGAACAAGACACTTAACTTCTCTAAACTTGTTTACTCATTGGTAAAATGGGAAAAATAACACTGACTATAAGGAGATTCGATGAGGATTAAGACAGTATTTGTAAAGTACCCAGCACAAAATAGCCACCTAGCCCAGCTGGTGTGGCTCAGTGGATTGAGTGTCATCCCATAGACCAAGAGGTCCTGGTTCAATTCCTGGTGAGGGCACATGCCTGGGTTTCAGGCTCAAGCCCCAGTAGGGGGTGTGCAGGAGGCAGCCAATTGATGTTTCTCACATCCATGTTTCTATCTCTCTCCCCTCTCCCTTCCACTTTCTCTCTCAAAAAAACAATAAAAACATATATTAAAAAAACAAAATAGCCACCTAGTGCCCTGGCCGGTTTGGCTCAGTGGTTAAGTGTTGGCCCACTGACCAAAGGGTTATGGGTTCATTTCCAGTCAGGGGCACATACCTGGTTGCATGTTCAATTCCCAACCCTGGTCGGGGTCATGCGAGAGGCAACCAATCAACGTGTCTCATATCAATGTCTCTCTCTTTGTCTCCCTCCCTTCCTTTCACTCTATCTAAAAATCAATGGAAAAATATCCTCAGTGAGGATTACCCCCCCCCCAATAATAGCCACTTAGTAAACAAAAACTGCTTTTATTAGTTTAAAATTTAGTTTTTAATTTTAAAATTTGTTTAATAAATAAACAAAGAAGAAGAAAACAAGGACCTGATGTTGGTCCATGGCTCTCAATTCTGGCTAAAATGGTGACTCACCTGGAGAGCTTTGAAAATTAAGGTTGCCTAGACTTCACCTAAGACAAATGGAATCAGACTCTCCAAAGTTGGGCCTGGACATCTGAATTTATTTTAAAAGCTCTCTAGATGATTCCAATGTGCAATTGGGAGTGAGAACCACAATAGCTAGCCAAAAGAGAGGTCCCACTTTTTACCACCTGAAACTAATTTTTTTTATTAATAGCCACTCTCCTTACAAAATCAGTCCATCTGATGGTAGGGCCATCAGGCAGAGAGTACCAACCTTTTGGTAGCATAAGAAAATACTAAAAGACCCTTAGGGTCTGCTAACAAAAAGCAAGAAGTTTCTATCAACAGCCAGATAATGGGTTCCCAGAAAATCCTGAGATTTCATCCATTTCCTTTGATCGCCTTTCCTAGAGGAGAAGAGAATTGCTGTTCAGGCCTGAGAAGAGGAAGGGAGAAAAAGGATGCTGGAAAGAGTGAGCAAGCTGCAGGAGAACATGGCAGTGATGTATTAAATCATCAGGGGAGCTGAGTTACATACATTCAGCTTGCTCTGGTGCTGGCCTAGTAGCCAAACCACCAACCAAACAAGCATGCTCACTTCCAGCAACCACCTAATGTGCACAAGACAGAACATTGTTAATGCTAAAGAGAAAGTCCCCATTCAGGCAGCCATTCCCAAAAGACTGTGCACCATAAACAACTCTCTCTAGAAAAAACCCTGACAAAGACATTAACTTTTGAAGTTCAATAGATGAAGAAAGTAGAAGCGAACCCCTCACTAACTAGCCCCTTGTTCCTTCCTGAACAGCATTCCTGAGGCAGAGGACGGGGACGTCCATGGCTGCCCTAAGCTCTGACACTTGCCATTACCTCTTGCTGCTTCTCCTCATTGGGGTAGGTGTCTACAAATACTCCCAGCCCCACAAATTTGTCCATGTTTCCAAACACAGGCCCTAGAGAGAGAGAACAGATGATGAACAATGAAATAAAGCCAAGAGTTGGTCAAGAAATTATATATCACTACGATGGAGGAAACAGTAAAATTCAAATGACTCTCAGGCCTCAATTAAGACAAGAAAACATATGTAAAAGCACCCAGAAAAGTGCATGGCCTGTAACAAGCAGCACCTGATAAACAGCTGTAGTTACTGAAGGCAGGGGAAAGAGAGAAGGCCACTGCAAGCTTGTTTAGCACTACAGCTGCTCCCTGATCCCGACTGGTTGCTAAGCCTCCCCTAAAGAATTCTGCTTCACAAACACTTGGTGATGACCATGTCCCTAAGAGAGATCTGAATTCCCAAGTTTGACTTCTTATTGCAAAAGAAATCAGGTTGAATCAGGTGGAGTTTGCCATCTGCTTTGGGCAATGCTTCACACACAAGAGGGAAAAATAAACATTCTTCTCCTAACTCAGGACTGCTGAGATCAGTCACTGGCACGCCCAGAGGAATCTGCTCACCCAGTCGTCAGGGTTCAGGAGAGCCAGTGCTTTCACCTAGTCACCCGGGCAGGTGGGTTCACAGGGAAATAAGAAGGAACTAATAAGCAAGAAATTGTCCCAGGATGAGTCAAGTTCAGCTGCTTATGAGGACTCAGACCCCATTCTTGAGATTAGATAGGTCAGTCTTCAATCACAGACATCAAGGGAGAGGGAAAATTGCTGATACTGTGGGGACATACCCTTCTCAAAAAGAAGGCACATGAAAAAGCAGGTGGGTTACACCCTATTCAAGAGCAACCCAAGGTCCCAATACCTGACTGCATTCGATCCTTTGTGTACCAGATTGCCAAGCCATCCCCATGCAGATTCTTCTTCCCTTGTCCATGGATTTTGAAGTGCACCTGCAACTCCCAGTCTCTCAGGAAACAAGGCTGAAGTGAAAAACACATTGGGATCAATGAGGAGTATAAAATACGAAACCCCTCAAGCCCTTATCAGCTGTCTACAGACCAGGAAAATATAAATGCAGGTAACATAAGACAAAGAGGTGAAACTGAAATCTAAAACTTGCTAAGTGTTTGTGTCATAAAATTAAGCAGATAGAGTCATTTAACTGTATATGAGATTTAATATGAAAAGTCAAGCACTGGCTGGTTTGGCTCAGCGGTTGGAGCATTGGCCTGTGGACCAGAAAGTCCCGGGTTCGGTTCCCATAGGGGCACATACCAAAAAAAAAAAAAGGTCAATAAACCTCCTAATTTTCTTCAACATCTCCCAATAGAAATAGAATAGTACTCCAAAGTTGGAAAAGACACCAAAACACCACATGAGACTGCTATCATCCTACACCCATCCAGCAAAGTGTCTCAGCCTGTAGAATACAGGTGGCTGAATTAACTCATCTGCAGGTTAAGATCACCCCTGTGATAGACTCTCAAAAGCTTAGATTTAAAGAAAGGTCAAAGCTCATTCATTGTGAAAGAATAAGAAAAACAAAGTCTGTATGTAAAGGTTTCCAGTAATAATTAGCAGATGCTATACACAACTCTAATTAGTTAGACTTGGCTCTATGACAAGCTGAGGGGAAAGCTGGAATTCTCATATCATAAGGGGTAAGTTACAATCCCCCCAAACCTCATGCCCATGGTCAGGAAGCATAAATGCACCAAAGAAGAACACCCCACCACAGGGACAGCCTCTGGTGGGAAAAATTTAATGTGGTGAGTATGAATCAGACTCCTGTTGCTTTTTTTGAATTATGTAGCAAACCTTGGAGAAATGAAGGAGGTAAGCCCTCTAAATACTTGAACACTTTCAAGTAAAAATCAGAGTGGGTATCTGATTTAGAGAGGCTCCTGGTTAAAGTGCACCATGAAGAAAGAAGAGGAGGAGGAGGAGCAGATAGACCAATGGTATTCAGCCAAAGACTTTCCAGATAGATTTTTCTGGCTCTCAAGCAACATACTGCTAGATCATTTTCAGTTTAATTTCTGGGAAATCTTCCAGTGTTAGTATTGGTAGTACACAGTACAAATGAAAGGACTGCAGATAATTCTGAATTCACCAGTGAACCCTGAAATCTCCAACAGCTTACCCTACTCTGATGAACCCAGTCTCTGCTGTTACATTTAGATTTCAGGGCAAGAGTGAAATTCAGTGGCAGGAAGCTGCCCCATAGCCAGCAGGTGGGTATTATGCCCCTGGGAAGAGGGCAGGGTCAGAGAGGTTGATACCAAGTCAACACATATCTGCCACTGATCTTTGGCTTCATGTAGCACAATGCTATACAGTTTTATTCAGGCTACGTCTAACAGTGGTTCTAAAACTTTGCTGCACATTAGATTCACCTAGAGGGTTTTAAAAAAAATTCTAATGGCCAAGCTGTGCCCCATTCCACTTAAATCAGAATCTCTGGAGTGGGATCCAGGCATTGACTCCAAGGATAGCCAAAGATGAGAAACACTGCTAAAACCAATGCTTCCTATGCAAATACAAAACTCAGAAACAACTCCAAGGCTTTCTGATAGCCAGTTATCAAAAAATACAGGTAGCAGAGAATCTGAAACCAGGCAGGAAAACCAGAGTCTAGATCAGAATTGCTACTAAGAGTTATGTAGAGACAGCTAGGAAGACAGCTGCAAAGTATTGAGCCCTGGATATAATCATTTAGTAACCTAGTGACCTCCATCAATGAACCTTATAACAGGTGTAGGACATAACAAGGTACATCTCTGTAGCCATTTTAACACATTGTTGACCACTCACGAGTTAACTTGTTTTCATGCCCAAATGTTGACCGATCACGAGTTAACTCATGTTTGCACTTGCATTAACTATTTCAATTTTTGAAACTCAGGGTAATATATAGCATTATTGTATTTGTGACTCTTTGCCCTGAGGGTCGAAGTTCAAAAAACAGCACACCATTCTGTTATTAGACCACCAAATGACAAAAAAGAAATGTGATAAGATCTGATAGTAAAAGTGATTTTGAAGAAGAGTGGATTGAAAATGATATTACACCAACTTTGGAGGATCATTCAAATATTTCAGGTGTAACTGTTGACCTTAGTGATCCACGTAGCATCAGGGAAGTGACGGAATTACTTTTTAGTGATGATTTTATTGATTTAGTTGTTTCTCAAACCAATTTATACCACCACCAAATGGAACAATTTTACAAAACATCTATTAAAACTGTAAAAATTACTAAAATATATAATAGGTATAAAGTATAATATGTAGCAGATATGTACAAAGTTTCACTTAAATTCATTATGCATAAATAAAATATACTGAAGTTTATTTAGATTGCTTCACTTTCATACTCAATTACAAAAAAATAGCCGGTGACATGAGATAACTTGTGCATAAAATTGCCAGTCGACAATGTGTTAACTTTACAAAGCTTTTTCATGTCTCAAAACAACCCTGGTGGGCAAGTAGAACAGGTATTATGAAGCGCATCTGACAGATGGAGAAACTGAAAACTGAGAGGTTAACTAAACACCTAGGGTTTACAGAGGGTATGTAATACAGCTACAGCTAGAACCTGAGTCTTTCCATTGGCAGCCCTTCACCTCTTCCACCAGAACACACCACCATATACTGTCCAGGAACGAGCTCAGCACTACAACCTGGGTTAAGAAACCAGTTTGTGCAAATGACTCATGTAGAAACTTCTTTTCTGCCTTCTGCTCCTTTAGACTTCTCTGCATATAAAATGAACAGGGAGAAGAAAACAGGGCTCTTTTCTGAGGTTCACTTAGCTAAAACTAATGATAAAAACAAAACATGAAAAGTAAGTTCTTAGCTTATGCGAAACCAAAAGTATTCAGGGATGCCAAGGTCATTCCCAAAAGCAAAATGGTCATAACAAATTTAGAAAGAGTTCTGGAAACCAAAAAGAAAGTGTCATCTTACACTTGTACAAAATTAGAGTGCAGCCACAGCAGGAATATTGCATTCACATCTTGCTGCCATACATCAAGGAAGACAATGTAGCTAGAAAAGATCCAGAGAAGGCCAAGTAAAATGATCAAGAGCTCAAAGTGACTTTCACATGAAAATAAAATGTAAATTAGACACCTCAAAGTGAAATAACAAGGGAGGAGGGGGAGAAACTGGGATGAAGTTTGGGATAAATTTAAAAGACCAGTTTTCTACTTTACAAAACAAAGTAACTAAACATGAGTTAAGTTATTAACCTCCAAGAAGTCATACTATCAAGTCAATCAGGAATTAAAGACATTTCAGAAAACAGAATAAAAATGAATTATTTGCTATAATTAGGGCAATAGAAAGCATTTCCCTAAATATCTGATTTCATTATGAAGGTCTTCATAACCTCTGAAATAAAAACCCTTAATATCTACAGAAGACAGAATATGGAGAATAGATAGTAAAATTAAGTCAAATGCCCCTGGTGAACTTTCTAGGACTTTTCGGGTCACCAACACAGGAGGGAGGAAGATTCTTACCACCCGGTTCCACAGGGCACCCTGTTTACTTTGCATATCTGGGGTAAGGCGGATATACTGGGTCATCACCATGGCGTTGCCCATCAGATTCCACAGTGAGGAACTGCTGGTGCCCACACCTACAAGGAGGAAGTAGATCAGTTCATCCTCTTCAACACCAACCCATTCAGAAAGCCACCACAAGGCCCTCCAAAAGCTGGAGTCATCTTTTTTACCCTTTCTTGTCAATCTCCCACCTTCTATCACTCATAAATCTTAGATTCTTATCATCTTTACAATTTCCTTTCATAAAGCCCTATGCAGGTGGAGACCCCAAAGTACATCAGAGGTATCACTTTATCCATGCTACAGTAACCATAGCTCAGATCCATTCTTCCCTTTTTACATGTGAGTAAATTGTAGCACCATGAAAGAAAAAAACTTTCCCAGTTAGCCCTGGCCGGTTTGGCTCAGCGGTTAGAGCGTCCGCCTGCGGTCCGGAGAGGCCCGGGTTCGGTTCCCGCTAAGGGCATGTACCTCGGTTGCAGTTTGTCCCCGGCCCTGGTTGGTCGTGCGGGTGGCAGCCACTCGATGTGTCCCTTTCACATCGATGTTTCCCTCTCTCTCTCTTCCTCTCTCTCCCTCCCACTCTGTCTGTACAAAAAATGGAAAAATGTCCTCGGATGAGGATTAAAAAAAAAAAAAAACTTTCCCAGTTAAACCAAAAAGAGCTTGATCCTCAGGTCTCTGGGGCTTAATCACGATCTTTCTTTAAACAACCCAAGCATGACTTTACCAAATACCTCACACTATAAGCCCCTTGAGAGTGAGGACTGTGTTTGTATAACCGCATTAGCAGAGACCCACACACAAGAGGCACTCTGTGCATCTGCTAAGTGAACAAATAATCACTCTTAGTAGTGTGTATGCTCTTGCACTTGGAGTTTGTTTGTTTGCTGTCCCCTTACCCATACTCCAGCGGGGAAACAGACTTGTTCTAAGCCATCTGCACTGAGTTGGTCCTCTTTGTAGCCAATTATATAAATTTTCTGGTTGATAAGCTGTACCTAAAAGCCTATGAACCCTAAAAAGAGCAGAGCTATCAACTTCTTTCACCAATAGGGCTCCTGGACTGGAGAAGAACAGGTGTTTTAACCGGCAACAGAACTGTATCTTCTTTCTCAGTCCGGCCACTCCTACCCCAGCTCTGCCTCCTGTTTTATTTCTAGCAAATTTACAGCTCCATTCGGAGTCCGGTTCATTGTTAGTGGTTCTCCATCACTCGCCCCATCGCAGTCCCCTCCCCTCCCCACATTCCTCGTTCAGACCTAGCCCTAACGGCATCCGAAAACCCAGTGACGACCTGCAGGAAACGTCCAGCGCTAAGGGCGGGGCGGGAGGGAGGCTGACCCCTGACCTTCGGATCCGTAGCTCCCAGACGCAGCGGGAGTCCCCTTGGGCCCCCACCCACCGTCGGGAGTTTCCGGGGCCACGAAGCCCGTCGCCGCCCGCCTCTACCGAGCTCAGGTCCCGAAGCCCTCCCCAAGCACGACCACCTCGTCCCGGGCACCTCACCCTGGTAGGGCTTCGACAGCGAGTGCTCCCGTTTCAGGTACTCGAACGTCTGACCCGCCCCGACTTTTCGGGGCCCCTGCCCAAACCCCAACAAAAGGAGAAGGAGCAACATCTTGGACCCATCCCGAGCCGACAAATGCCGCCGCCACCGCCACCGCCACCGCCGCCACCACCCCGAAGGATCCAGAGTCGCCGCCATTTTTCTCACCACAGTCCTTTCACCAAAAGTCTGCCCCGTCTCACAAGCCATTGGCCCATGGAACTATCTGCCCCGCGTCCTATAGGCTCTCGTCGATTCCCCGCCCCCATAGGTGAGCATTTCACCGATTGGCTAGTTTGGTATCAGTTGCCTTGCCAACCCAGGAGGGGGTGTGACCAAGTGCCTGGACTCCCTTATTTGCATTTGTCCTGAGCTCTGCTAGGCCTGCTGGGATACGTAGTGATTTACATTTTGTCTCTGCAAGTTAAAGAAAGTTTAAAGAGATAAAATGTTTCGTCTGCGATTTAGGGTAAATTTGAAGAGATAAATAGTTTCTTCTTGTTCCACGCAAACGTTCTAACTTCTCTGCCATAGTACCTCTGACTGCGGAACTATCAATCAGGAGAATATAGAACTGAAAGGAAAAATAGACGAATACACAATTGTAATTGGAAAACTGTCAGGAAAATCCTCAAGTTTATGAAAGACTTGAACAACACTATCGAACAACTTGACCCGATGACAATAGAAACTCCACTCAACAACAGCAGAAGACATTCTCTTCAAGTGCAAAAGAAACACATGCCAAGACAGTGTGGGTCAAAACAACAACAAAACCCCACAGAAACCTTCACAGATTTAAAAGAATTGAAAGCACATAATGAATGTTCTGTCATGACAGAATTTGGCCAGAAGTCAATGAAAGAAATATTTCGGCCCTAGGCATTGGCCCGTGGACCAGATTCCTGGGTTTGGTTCCCGCTAAGGGCACTACCTGGGTTGCAGTTCTTACCCCTCCTGGTTGGGGTCATGTGGGTGGCAGCCAGTGGATGTCTCTCTCTCACATTGATGTATCTCTCTCTCTCTCTTCCTCCCACTCTGTCTGAAGATAAATGCAAAAAAAAAAAAAAAAAGTCCTTGGGTGAGGATAAAAAAAATATTTTGGAGAAATACCTCAAATATTTGGATATTGAACAGCTCACTTTTAAATAACGGAGAAGGGTGTAGGAGGTACTAGGGGATTTAAGCAAGTTCTAAGAAATGGAACAGAGTAATCAACCCTTTACCTGGGTAGCACGATAATATACCCAGTTCCCAAAGCCAAAAAAGTGACAGTCATCCCAGTTTCTCCTTTTCCTCACCAATTCCACTGTGCTACCAATAATTAATCAAGTCTTGAAGACTTTATTTCTGTTTTGCAAAGCCATCACATCCTGATCATCCTCCAATTTCTCTGGAATCACAACATGTGTCCATAATATTGTTCTTGCCACTATCATCCACACGGTCATCCAGCTGATCTAAATAATCTACCATGCCATTTCCTCAGTGTCAAGACTAAATAAGTCAAAATTGGTAAAGCTCTTAGAATAGTGCCCAACACGTAGTACGCGCTATATAATTATCATCATTATTGTCAACAAAGCCCTTTTTGGCTAACCATCATCTGTGGAGAAGAGATTCAGGCCCCTTAACTTGGCACACAAAACCCTCTGCCGTTGGCCCTGGCCCTCCTCTGGCCTTATTGCCCATAGCTCCCTTTCTTTGTCTATGTGCTCCAGCTTTCCCTCTTCCCTCTCCTTTTTCCCAGCCCATTCCCCCTAGAGGCCTTCCTTGACTCCCTCAGATAGGAGCAGGAGCCCCACTCTGAGCAGTCAATGTGCCCCAAGCACATTTCTTACAGAGCACTTGCCAGTAGACTTAACCAAAGTTAACTTTTTCTTTCCTGAGCAAAAATACATTTAATAAGAGAAACTGTGATGCAAGCTTGTTTTGCAGGGGATCAACTTTTTAAAATTAAAGCTGTCACAACCATTGATCTTTTACACACTCCACATAGAGCAGATGTTTGATGATAAGACATTAGGAATTGCAATGAATCTATTCCTTGTCACACCCTTGCTTTAAAACCATTCATGGCTCCCAATTACCATAGAATAAAATCCAAACTCCTTAGTGTAGCATTCAAGGCCCTTCACAACCTGGTTCAAATTGGGCTGTACACATCTCTGTTACAATGTGTCACCCTGAATTACGTAGCTCAATTAGCAGATTATGTGATTGCCTACCCAGCAAGGCTGGGAGCTCCTGGACCACAGAAAGCAGGTCTTACACATTTTCTATTCCAGTCCCTGTCCACTTCCCCCTCTCCCTAACCCATCACCCAGCACATAGTAGGGGTACTAACTGTTTTGAATAAAATAATTTCCATTGTATTTCTATGTCAGCTGGAATTTTTATTGTGGTAAAATATACACTATTTAAAATTTACCATTTTAACCTTTTTCTCCTCGATCTTCACGCAAGGATAGGTTTTCATTGCTTTTTAGAGAGAGAGGGAGAGAGAGATTGATCTGTGCCTCATATATGCACCCCAACTGGGATTGAACCCAAAACCTAGGTATGCGTCCTGACTGGGAATTAAACCCGCAACTTTTTGGTGTATGGGACAACATTCCAACCAACTGAGTCACCCAGCCAGGGCTCATTTGAACTATTATTTAAGTATACATGTCAGAGGCATTAGTACATTCATACTGTCTGCAAGCTGCCAGCTGGATTTTTTTTTTTTTTTTTAACCAGGGGAGAGTGCAAACATAGTCCCCCACTACCACAAATTATGCAGTCAAATTCCCCACATTTGGGGAAATTGCAGGGGTCAGCGCATCCTAAATGCAATGGATAAGTTTCACCCTGGGAAAACCACCTTCTTAATCATGGTATTGTCCCTGTCTGGTAAGTATATCAGCTGAATTTTTGATAGATTATCTCAGCAAATCTTTCATTGTAAAATTCATTATGATGAAGAAAAGGGGGAAAGGAGGGAGCATGTAAATGACAAAATGTGCAAGACAATAAATTCAGAGATTTTGTTCAGACTCTGGCAATAGGGAGAATGCTCATTAATGAGGAACATATCAAAGAAAAGGAAGATGGCCTGGTTTGGAGACAAATCAACAAGGGAGTCATTTCGAGGAAGAGCAAGAGAATCTTATCTGAGTCACTGAGGAAAGATAGAAGTGGGTCTTTTCTTGGAATAGTCTTTTAAAGTCAGCCATTTCTCAGAATTCAAAATGCGGTATGGGGCCACAAACAGGTGAGTTTTGTTGTTGTTGTTGTTGTTGTTTTATCCTCATCAGAGGACATTTTTGCATTTATCTTCAGATAGAGTGGAAGGGAGAGAGGGAGGAAGGGAGAGAGAGAAACATCGATGTGAGAAAGACACATCAACTGGTTGCCACCTGCATAACCCCAACTGGAGCCAGGGACAAACCGCAACTGAGGTACCTGCCCTTAGCAGGAACCAAACCTGGGACTCTCTGGTCTGCAGGCCGATGCTCTAACAGCTGAGCCAAACTGTCCAGGTCCATATTTCTAATTATAAACTCCAGTGATAGGATTTGCAAATTACATGCTTCCACTTTGTACCCCAGATCCCTGAATGATATCCTCAAGTGAGCCAATGATTTCTACTTCATTTATTATTATTATTATTATTTTTTAATCCTCACCCGAGGATATTTTTCTGTTTATCTTCAAATAGAAGGAGGGAGGGAGAAAGAGGGAGAGAGAGAGAAACATCAATGTGAGAGAGACACACCTACTCATTGCCTCCTGCATGACCCGACCAGGGCCGGGGATGAACCACTACCAAAGTGCATGTTCTTGACCAGGATCAAACCCACAACTCATTGGTCTGTGGGCCGACACTCTAACCGCTGAGCCCAACAGGCAAGGGCTGATTTCTATTTCATTTATAAACCTACCTCTGACAAATGTACTTTCTTCCAGAGGGACCAAACCCACTTTCCAAACACATTTTAGAACACAAGCAGGCAAGCCTTAACAAGGTTGTATAAACAATAGTAATTTGGATACTTCTAGAACTCTCTAGAGTACACAGTGTGCCCGTGCACTCCCTATACAAACTGTCATGTAATGGCTCGCAACAATCCAGTGTGGTAGGTGTCATCACTCTCACTTTGCAGAGAGGGAATCTGAGGTTCAGAAAGATTACATAATGTGCCCAAGGTCATACAGTAGAGCCAGAATCTCAAAAGGGCAGATGTTTCCATTCCAACTTGAACGTGCCAGAATTGTCCTCCCTCCTGCCCACCCATTCTATAATTCTTGGTGAACATTAATGCTCTGTGACAAGCAGGTATCTGGAGGCCTAGAGGCAGTCCCTAATTTGTGGGACTTCTGCCACTTCATCAGCCACCACAGATCTGAGATCTGGTCCTCGGGACATTGATTTTTATCAGTGGTAAACAGATTGGGGAGAGTAAGTCACACTGACTAAACAAGTAACTAAGTGATAAACTCAAATGCTAATTTCTTAATTAATATACTAATATTAGCAATAAAATAATATATTAATACTAACTCCTTGGTATACTGAGAAATTAAACTGCTAAGAGAGCTAGAATGTTAAGTGGGAAGTCCTTACTAAAGTGTTAGGAGAGTAGGCTTGATTTGAATAACCAACACAGGACTCTTAGACATACTTTTCCTGGCCTGGCCAGTGCGGCTCAGTGGATTGACTGTAGTCCCATGGTTCGATTCCTGGCCTGGGCACATGACCAGGTTGCAGGCTTGATCCCCAGTAGAGTGCACGCAGGAGGCAGCTGATGGATGTTTCTCTCTCACATCGATGTTTCTCTCTCTCTCCCTACAAAAGTCAATAAAAACAAATTTTTTTTTCTTTATTGATTTTAGAGAGAGAGGAAAGAAGAGGGGGAGAGAGAAAGAAACATCGATGAGAGAGAACATCGATTGGCCGCCTCCTGCATGCCCCACACTGGGGGTTTGGCCCACAACCTCTGCATGTACCCTGACGGGGAATTGAACAGGCAACCTCTTGGTGCATGGGTCAATGCTCAACCACTGAGCCACACCAGCTGGGCTAAAAACATATTTAAAAAATAAATAAATACTTTGTCCACCGGACAGAATTGACATGTTCTGACATATTTCTATCCCAACTGTTCGTCTAGATTGCAGACCATTTTCTTTTTAGTTATGACAACACTATTGGATGGGTCACAATGAACTTTACTAGATTATAGTTAATTACAGTTTTCATTCCTTGAAGGAAATTTAGAAAACACCACAAATGCATGCCTAGCACATTTCCTAATCATCTCCAAGGGAGATTTTTAAAAGCTTTTTGTTATGCCAACTCTCAAACATACACAGAACTAGAGGGACTCCCCACGTACCCATAACCCAGGTTCAACACCAGTCAGCATCCTGCTACCTCTTTAAATCTATCCTACCCTCCAACCAACACGAACACAATTTCTTCCCACGGCTATTTTAAAGCAAATTTCTAAAGCTTATCTCTCATTTCAGATGCTGTACCCTTCTTGATATTCACTTTCTGAAGTGAGTGCAGATGTCCACCACATCAAGACCTATGACGCTGAAATGAGACCCTGGCTGCGATTCTGGAAGTTGGCTGCATATCAAACTCTCTGGGGGGAGATTTTCAAAATCAAATCCCTGGGCCCTGCCCCAGACCTGTGAATCAGGTGTCTGGGTGTGGGAAGCAGGCATCTGGGTATGACAAAGCTCTCCAGGCTATCTAATTGTGGTTTGTGGGAAGGCCAGAATTTGTAAGTCAGCACTGGAAAGTAGCTAGTCAGGGTTAGAGCTACTGTCCCCTTCTTTTTTTTTAAATCCTCACCCAAGGATACTTTTTCCCATCATTTTTATCTTCAGATAGAGTGGGAGAGCGAGAGCGAGAGAGACATCGATGTTAGAGGGACACATCTAGTGGCCGCCTCCTGTACAACCAGGGCTGGGGACTGAACCGCAACCAAGGTGCATGCCCTTGACTGGAATTGAACCCGCGACTCTTTGGTCCCAGGGCCGACGCTCTTCCAATGAGCCAAACCAGTCAGGGCCTACTATCCTCTTCTATGTCCAGGGTCTGCTCAGAGAACCGAAGGGTGGGGCCGGGTCAACTTCGACTTTAGGGCTGAAGATGGGGCTAGCCTCAAGGCCCAAACTGGATCCCCGAGGAGGGAGGAATGGCCTACCTGGCTTTGGAAAGGCTACTGGTAGGCTCTGCTTTGGGTCCTAGGTTTGGGAATAAGGGTGGATTTAAATAAAATGACATGATTTAAAAGTGAAGAGTGGGAGGGAAAAGAAAGGATGTGGTCAAGAGGTTGCCCTGGAGCCTGTCATGGAGAGTGGGGTGGCATCAGGCTTCAGGGTGTTCCCTAAGTGAAGAACCTGTTTGGTTTGGAAGACAGGTAAGTAGAGGAATCACCCAGAACTGCTGGAATACACAACTCACATTGTGTACAAATGCTCTGTGCCCTGGAAGCGTGAAGCTCGAGATCATGGGAGAAAATTCCATGGAAAAAAAGAGGGATGTTAAGCAGGTGAAAGGATGGTAGGTCAAGATCTGACCGAACTTTCAGAAGGTGCGTCTAGGTATGTGCAGAGCAGTGTTGAGGGGGGCATGGCTCCTTTTTCTCTTTCCCTCCACCTCCTCTCAACACCTCAACAGTGCTGAGCTTTATCTGAACCCCATACCTCTAGAAAGCAGTGACAGTAAAAGAAAAACCCCACCTGCCCGGACAGTGTTGCTCAGTGGTTGAGCATCGACACATGCACCAAGAGGTCCTGGTTTGATTCCTGGTCAGCGTACATACCCAAGTTGTGGGCCAAGTCCCTAGTGGGGGGCATGCAGGAGGTGGCCAATCCATGTTCTCTCTTATCGATGTTTCTATCTGTCTCAAATCAATAAAGAAAAAAATTAAATAAAAAAATCCCCCCATCCCCCACCAGGGCCTGTGGCTGTTACTTAAAAAAAAAAAATTGAGGGCCATCCTGGCTGGTTTTGCTCAGCCTGTAGACCAATTAATGAGTCTCGGGTTTGATTCCGGTCAAGGGCATGTACCTCGGTTGCGGTTCGGTCCCGGCCCTGGTTGGGGTTGTGTGGGAGGCAACCAATTGATGTGTCTCTCTCACATTGGTGTCTCTCTCTCTCTCTCTCTCTCCCCCACTCTCTCCTTCCCTCCCACTGTATCTGAATATAAATGGAAAAATATCCTTGGGTGAGGATAAAAAAACAAAAACAAAAATAAATAAATAAAAAATAAAAGAAACTGAAGGCCTCTAGAAGGTTTGATCAGAGGTTTATAATCTAATTTATGTTTTTAAAGTATCACTCTGGTGGCTACCTTGAGAACAGATTGGAGGAGAGAAGGACAGAAGCAAGAAGATAAGGTATACCGGCAAATCCAAGAAAGGAGGGTGCTGGGGTGGCAGCAGAAGTGGAGAGTAGCTTAGATATATTTTCAAGGTGCAGCCAACAGGATTTGCTGAAGGATCGTACAGTGGTATTAGAGAAAGAGAAGAATAAAGAATGACTTGAGTCCAGCTGGTGTGGCTCAGTGGTTGAGCATCAACCCATGCACCAAGAGGTTGCTGGTTGGCTTTCTGGTCAGGGCACATGCCCAGGTTGTGGGTCCGATCCCCAGTGGGGGACGTACAATTTGGGGGAAAAAAAAGAATGACTTAAGCTGAGTACTTTGGCTCAACAGTTAGAACGTTGGTTTTGTCGGAGGGCTTGATTCCTGGTCAAGGGCCTGTATCTGGGTTGTAGATTCAATCCCCAACCCCAACATGCCAGAGGCAACCAATCGATGTGTCTCTCTCACATTGACATTTCTCTCTTTCTCTTCCTCCCTCCCTTCCACTCTCTCTAACAAAAAACAAAAAAACAAAC